CGATATTGTATTAGTTTTTATTGTTGATTATTGTCTTTACTGGTTAATTTGCATAAGTTTATCGCTTATAAGTCTTACGATTTTCAAATTCATTGCAATGTAGGTACGATGAGAGCTATTGTAGAGTATCGATGTTTTCTACTACTCTTCTGATGCAGGTTCTGTCTGTAGTCATGATTGTGCATGTCCCTTAAATCAGTAGTTTATCGAAGATAACTGTGCATGCAGAGGCGACCAGCTCATGGTGGAAATGTTCTTCCTCTGAAGCTTTGACGTCCTAATTGGTGCCAAGCAACTCTAACAGACTGTAAACCGTGTCAGTGCGATAGCCTGGCAGAAAGAGGCGAGACAAAAAGCTATTTGTCAGTGCATTTTTTATTGGCTATCAGATGAATAATGCGATGCCTTGCGTCTTTTGATTCCCTTTGGAATACAGCTGGACGGCGACTTCAGCGATGCTCTGGCTGATACCTTTTATTTTAACTTCCTGTAACACAGATACTATACCTAAGTCTTTCCAGTAACACCTCCGTTTGGTTTCCAGTCGCGAACAAGGTAAGGTAACGCTCCACGTGAGTACCCGGATTTTCTAGTGTAGGTTCTACCCTTACGTCTGAAGATCCAGTTGGGTAGTAGATGCTCTTTGTTGCTGTTTACTGTTGGCTGAAGTGGTTTGCCGTAGTCACGAATGAATCAACCATTCATAATATCGGGTACGATTTACTTTTCAATAACATTATATTACGCTACGCAAAAGTGTTCCTAAATTTTGTTCTGTAAATTTCATGTGCTTGTTGTTTCCTTTCAGGTGAGGATTCTGAGCTATTTCCCTCCGTTTAACCTACATTCATTCGCGTCCTTCTTGAAACAGTAGCCCTCTTTGATCTTTTTGCATACCTGTTGTTTGGTTGGATGTCGTAGCTGTTCGCGCAAAAAAATTTTTGTTCTATGTAGTGCTTCATTGACTATGTGCTTAGGCATTAAAGGAAGGGAAACGATGCGTCACTGCACAGTGGCTAAACGACGTCATCCTATCCAAAAGAATGTGCCCTCCCTGGAAAGCCGTTCATTTTCCATCTACCTACGGTGATAACAAACCGTGCAAGAATAAGGTATTCATTTTTTGTCTTATTTCGACATTAACAGACAGCAGTAAAGTCTAATATCGCTCGCTGTTCAGCGGCGCACAGCTGCCAGTGATCTATTTTACATCTACTAACGACGTAGTGAAGCAGTGGCAAAAATATGAAACCATGAATGAAGGATTTCAAAGGCGCACCAGTACTGGAAAGATGACAGGAACTAAAATGCAGAAAACTTTTAAGTATAAAAACTGTCACAACTGAAACAGATCGATCAATCAGGTAATTGACCGGTACCGACGTTTCGGCTCGTTTTTTACGGGGCTTGTTCAGGGCTTTCTGATTGATTTCCGCAGCTTGGACACAAGGGCTTGTTTGTGCAGATTGTTATATTAGAACTTTATACTTGGAAAATTGCTTTAATTTTTAATTGAAAATCTATGTTGAAAAAGTGCCCTTGTAATTCCTGGTATTATCCCTTATTTTATAGATTATCACTGTCTGTGGCTTCGATCTCAATGAACGATCTTGTTTGAAGCAGATGATCGTTGCAATTGGAGCTAGGTACACGACGTACTTGAGTCGCCATAATCACCTGCTCATCGCCAAATGGTAGTTGCCGATTATTTTAAGGTTTGAAATAGTTAAATTAATGTTATCACTCTTAATTGTAGCCTCGAAGGTCAGAAGGTGCTAAAAGCCGTTGAATGGAAAATCCCTATCGTCAACGTCCAGTGGCTGACAGAACTGTTTTTAGGTCAGACTTCTGTGTTACAGAATATTAACAATGCCAAATATCGTCAGTTCATTCCGAAGGACAACCCGCAGTCCCTTTACGATCCGTTTCGGATCGACGCTGCGATGGCCGCCCCGGTTCTCATGAGTACGCTATTTATTTATATTAATATTTCGTTGTAGTTAATTTTATATCTTCTAGATGCTTGGCGTATTCCGGTACCTTGCACTCAAGAAACATGGAAAGCTGCCAATGAAAGGCGTAAGAAACTAAACTCTGACGATGGCAAATTGTCACCTTACAAAAAGCTCAAGTAATTATGCTCCTTATGAGCTCGTATTAGTTTAAACTCTGATTCAGGTTGTCCCCGGCACCGAACGACGAAGAAATTGAAAATCATCGTAAGGAGTGCATGCTGAACTCAAAGCCTGTGGACGCCAAAGTTTGCTTTACTGGTCTTTATAAAGCTGAAGCGGAAAATCTAAAAAGGGTTTGTCTTTGAGAATATTTAATGGCGTGGTGTTGTTGTCTTAACCATTTTTGTCCGCGCAGCTTTAATTTGATGCTAGGATTTGATGTAATTTGATGTTTAATTTAATTAACTGTGATGTTAGTTATTTTTTGAACTGATGTTGCGCGCTTAAGTCAGAAAAACAGGCAAAGAGTCGATTACATGGTATGCAGTTTTGAGCTGCATTTTCTACATATTTCTTCGTTCCTGGCCACAATGAAAAGTTTGTTACGATAGCTTCGATCTCCGTTTCCCTAAGACTTCCTACAGATTTGAGACATTTCTTCTGTCGTGTAGCGTGAAGTGTAGCACTATCTTATCCGCCAGAAGAAAAGGGTATATCTACAGTCTGGTAGATACTTCAGTTAATTTACTATTTTTATAAAATTAACAGTTCAGATTCATTTGCTTTAGGAGGATAAAACGCTATTGATCCGGAGGTCATCATTCGAATTGCTAATCAGTGGACTGCAAATCTGACGCTTTTTCGGCCGAGTTGCACAACATATCTTGGTGATAGAAGTACCGAAACTATACTTGTTTACGGAACTCAATCATTTAGCGTCATCGAAAACTTCTCTTTGACATTTTCTTGACCTGTAACCAATAAGTTGACGTTTTCTGTTCGCGGGGATACAGCAAGATGAAAATGTATCACAGTGCCTTTTAGGAGAGTGGAAGGGGGAGCGATTAATTCTTCTATTCCTTTTGAATTCGATTGTCGTTTTGACAGATTTGCCTTCAGAGCCTCAAAAGGTTTGTCAAATCGCAATTGTCACTTAATCGTACGAGGGCTGTTTAACTGCTCATGAAAAATCTTCACGACTAGAAAAACATTCTACCGTTACTTGACTTTATAATACTTTACATTGTTTGCCCTTAGCGGCCTGGGCACTCGGACGCTGGATTTTTGTATAGTACACGTAAAGTTGCCCTAAACTTTGGTTAAAACATGATTATGGATATTACTCTGAAATTTTGCTGTAGCATCATTTTGCTTCAGTATATGCCTCGTAGCTATTAAGTGCTTGAACATGGTCATTTGCATGGAATAAAAGATCTGATAACGTTCAAAGATGATGTTGCATATCTGTTTGCTTAGAAGTTCTTTTGGTTGGGTGGAAACGTGGTCGATCACGTCTCAGAATGTACTCACCTCATCGCTTCGGATCTGAAACGGACAAAGAAGTTGTTGGAAGGCATCTCCCTTGGGCGTTTCATTGTTACTCCTTCATGGATTAGGCAAAGTTACGAGCAGAGGAAGTTGATAGGTACGTTGTTTTTGTTATTTTATTTTTTAGCGTGATTTTTCTCTGGGTGTGTCAGCAATAAATGAAGATGTGTACTTTGTAGCGTAAGACAGATCATGGGCGTAGTAAGATAACATTTAGAGTGATTTAGAACCAGCGTTGTTGTAAACCTACTAATGCCGTCAAAACGAGCAGTTCTATTCGCACTCCCATCCTTGTATTCGCTTTACCCTCATTCTCAGAGCGAATTTCTCAGTATAACTTCTGCAAGTATTTCTGTGGAGATAGCAGCCATGCTGAGTATCGACAGCTTAACTATTCTTCTGCATTATTGTTTGACGAATAGGGAGTTGCTGCGAAGCGATGAATGGTTTGGCAGAACTATGTGTAGTGGCATAATATCGTTGATTTTCAGCTCCTTATATGGGAACCCAGCTGTGGAAGCTGTCTTCCTCAGACCAACATTTTTTTACGAACATAGAATAGCTTTCTGAACTCAGACCTACCGTCGCTTATGAGACTTCCTACACGGAAGGAGTGAAACAGTCTTGAATACATATCGTATGGCTGTGCTTTCCATTCCGCAGATATCAGCATTTCGCGTAAAGCTCAAATGACACGTACATTAACATTATTTACTAAACTTGAAAATTTAAGGACAACAATATAAATATCATTAAAATCATTTTTCATCTTCCATGGCCGCTTCTCCTTTCGGGTCGCAGAGGCTTTTTCACATAAAAAGTAATGATTCCGGATTGAAACTGAAAATGCACTGTGTAAAGAAAGGAAAATTTATTTCTCGTTTTGCACTAGCAGCTTTATTGCCATGCGTCATTGCTTCTAAGTGCCAGGGGGGCCAAATAAGTAGATCACGACTCCATCGTATTTCGACGCCTAGGACGCAGAACCGCATCTCAAATTTGGGTTGAACAAAAGTATATTCACCTAGAGGACATTGCCACGATCCGTAGGCGAATCGCGTAGTAAAATAAAACATCTGGGTTATATTTTGTCAAAAATCTTTTTTCGTTTTTTGTGTAGGGGAACTTAACGTTATCAACTGATGTTCCATTAGAATGCATTAGTTTTGTGAGAGGAGGACGAAAGGTTAATTGTACTAAGACTGGTGATGCCTTGACGCCCCAATGTAAACAGCCTCCTCTGGCTTGATCCACCCCTTGTTGTTATTCACATGTGCTGCAAAATCTACCATGACCTTGTTGGTTTGTCGCTTCGAATAAAGAGACGGTCTCGTCTCCCTCACACCACAGAAATGCCAGGTCGATACTATCGTTCCTGAATACTAGGTATTTCAAACAGTCAAAAATACTCTTTTGAAGGGCTGTCCATTAAGGGTTTTCTAAATTTAAAAATAAAATTTACTTCGCCTTTGTCAACCAGTCAGTTTAAATGAACGTCCACCAATAGAAGCTATCCTGTCCTACGTTCTCGAACACGTGCTAACGTTTGAGCTGTGGCAGAAGATAATCTGATTTTGGAGTAGAATATTTTCACACTTCTCAAGGTTATTCTTGGTCATCCCTAGGGTCTTCCTCCGGTCGGTTTTGCAAGTCGTTTTTGCTTCGTTTTACTTTCTGAAGGGATTCGAGAAACGTGCTCATACCATTGCAGCTGTGATTTCTCAACCTGGAGAATCAGTTACTGTACACCAAGACTCTTTCACATATCTGTACTTCGGACCATGTCGAGACGCGTGAGCCCAGCGATTCGTCTGACCACTTATCTATGGTCGCTTTTTCTAATCAATATTTTTTTTGACAGATCCGATCGATTACATCGTAAAGGACGAGGGGAATGAAAAGTTTTTCGGCTTCAACATAAAATTGAGCATCTGGCGTGCGCGGCAGAAACGACTTTTTGAGGTTTCCGTAGAAATATCTTCAAAGTTTTTTTGGTAAAAATATCGGCATTTTAGAATATTATATTTTATTTAACGCCCAGCGTGCAGCCTTTTCCGTCGGTGTTGACAGATATTGTACAGAAAGCCGGTGGTTCGGTTGTGATGCAGAGACCTCCTTTGAAGAGGCTTTTGGAATATAAAGAGGTTCGTATTTTAAAGATTTAATTTGAATAATGCTTATGTTGTTATATTAAAAACAGTTATTTCTTGAAGTGCTTACGTGATTGCCTGTCTGTTTATAACGTCTACTGTTTCTGAGGTTGTCTAACTCTTTAACTTCCAACTTGGGGATCTGTGCAAAATGACTGAGCGATGTAATTTTCCCTTCTAAAGGTAGCGCGTTCATCTGTTTTCATAATTCACTCGCAGGATTGAGTTTGGAAACAAGTAGCTTCGTGGAGTTTTTACAATGGTTATGCGCTGCATAATCTTTATTACCATTCTCATTAGGTGGCCGTTTTACTGTTTGTAGTCATTCTTCACAACTATAGATACTCCTTGACTTACGATTGGGTTACGTTCCGATGAACTCATCGTAAGTTGAAAATAATCGTATGTCGAATATAAATATGATAAGATAAATAAGTAAATAAATAACTGACAGTAACAAAAAATAAACACGAAAATGCACGGTATAAGGAAGAAAAATATATTTCTTACTTTACACCAACACTGCAGTAGCGTAAGATATATTGAGGCCTTACCGCGGTATTGCACCACCCCTTACTTCTAGCTGCGTAGGGGGATCATTTAAGAAGACTACGGCTCTTTAGTATTTAAGCGCCTGCAGTACGTTGGACACATGATCGCGTCTCTTAATTGACTTGAACTAGCCCAAGCACGTTAGCCACTGTCCGTAGGCAAGTATTCAAAATGAATAAAACAACGCTGATGCTCTGGACGGGCTTTCAAGAGTGAGTTTTCGATACCACCGTCGCATAAATGGCATTAACAATAAAGATACCTGACTGAAACTTCGAAAAGGCAGTGTAAAAAGGAAAAATATATTTCGCCATTTTAATCCGGTTAATTCATTAATTTATTAATCCGGTCTTTCAAGATGGTTAAAACTGCTGACGGCAGAAGTCTCAACTGACGGACTTGCCGCCTTCGTTCTAATTAATTATTCTGAGTTTGCTCTAGAGTAATTGCTTTCTTCTTTTTCTTATCACCAGTAGCAGAAGGCTGATTTTTGCGTTTAGTAGACATGATGGGCTTGGTAAATCTTTGTTAAACAGAAAAAATACCATATGATACGTTGTTAAACACTGTATGAGATGTTCACGCTTGCAGTTGCTGTAGAGACTGAGAGTGCATGGCTATCGCACCACTGTAAAGTCGAAGTATCGTAAAGTCCAACCGTCGTAAAGCGAGGAACATCTGTACAGGCCTACTTCAAAAGCTTGAGAGTACACCACAATTTTCCGGTCATACCTGTAGTATTGCCTATTTATTTTGGCTATTACTCATCTCAGTGATGTGAGAAACGTCAAGCTTATGCACGTTTTGTTTTCATATTACGTAGCGATTCAAGCCAGAAGCGACAGCTGCCTTATTTTTTGATGCAGGTAACACTTTGCCTTCGCATAGTCAGCGTTTGAAGAAGGAAAATGCTTGCAATGAATAAGGGTGATATGCGGTTAGCATGACTCGTGTGTAAGTACAGTGTCCTCCCTTCGAATCTTGCGATATGCCTCACTGCACGAACAGAATATGATATACAAATAATATTATGAAACTTTTCAGAAAGGCGTGAAGTTCGTAATCATCACCTGTGACAACGACATTCACTTATGCCACAGTTTAATCGAAAGTGGATTAGGTAATGTGGACAATGGCCAGTGTCTGTTTTCGTTGCAGAGAGTGCTTTTTTAGATTTGCATACGGCTGAATTCATTTTGACAGGCATCCTTCGCCAGGAAGTAGACTATATGTCATATCGAATCGAGCCACGACTGAATGATGCTGGAAAGTCGGGCCGAGAGCTGTGAGAACGTTGGATATTTATTGATTCTCTAGTCTATCCTCGGTAAATGGGGCACCATCCTTGTCTTAAGTAAACTGAGTGACGAACCTTTTATTAATCTTTTGACATTTTGTGGAACTTGTCTATTATGCATAACGTTCACTGCTGGTTTTTGATTCTTGCTTTTGCGCCCACGTTATCATTTTTTTCATTAGGAGGTTTTGAGAGTGAAGTTTGTTGCCTTTTTGAATGAACGGTAGCAAGGAGGAATCTTGGATTGAACGATCCAAAGGCGTCGCTGTAATTTCTGTTGATACTTGTTTGGGAGAACTGTTATCGACGACTTTCGCCTTTGCCTTTGCCGCTCATTGTTGTAAATGTTTCGATCTAAAATAATGTTACATTATTAGTTAATTTATTGCCTATCTTGTTATATCTACTGTCGTATTTTAGTTCGTGAAATAAATCCGACCTGACTAACAAACTGAACTCTGTCTGATACGCATGCCGCAAGCGGAAACTGCAAAGAATACGTATTATTTAACCGGTGGTGCCACAATATAACAGTCACGTGTCTAAACCTGTCGTCACTCTTCGATTCCAGTTCTGTCTGAAGTCTTATTTTTCATTACAAGACGTCGAATATGTTTGTAGATGTGATAGATGCACTCCGTTCGCTCGATATGTACCTTAGAAAAATCATACGTCCTTGAAAACACGCCTTTGAGAATATGTGATGAGTCAGCATTCGCCCCACCCCTGACGTCAAGAAGCCGACTACCAGGAGGCAAGTATTGCCTGAGTTTGCCGTTTCATTTTCCGCTCTTCCGGTTGGAGATCCGGTTGCAAGCTGGTTTCAACGACAAAGGTATGTGTAAAAATTGTGCCCATTTAAAACTCCTTTCTGGTAGACTGTCATCACATTCAAAAGCGTGACTACCATGCACTTGTTTCTGATGTTTAAAAGAAGTAGTGCTTCCAGTTTTGAGACCGAAAAAATCTTCTAACTGATTTTTAGTCACTACGGATTTTTGAGTATTTATCTTTGCCATCTTCTAAAGTGTTTACATTTCTTCAGCCAGCCAGAAATGGAGTTCAGTAGAACTTTTGTTGAATGTTTATAATAGCCATTATTTCAAACAACGTTTAAAGTTTAATCGCTCAAATTTTCAAAGCAGTTATTACTTTAAAAGAAATTTTATTCAAAAAATTAATCTTTTTGGAATAAAATTTATATACTGGGTAAGTCTTTTGAAGATTTTGGCGATGAAAGACTTTCCACCTCCATGAAGAACTCAACCATTCTGTTTAATTGCAAATCTGTAAAGTAATTTACGGCATGGCATCTCATTGAATTTATACGTATTCCAATATTTCAAATAATGCTCACTCCACCGTCAGAGGAAACCGAAGTAAAACTGAATGTCAAAGCAATATATTGTTTTATTCTTGTCTTGCTTCATGTTTCTTTCTGAAGATCGATCGTGCATGATCACAAATCTTGGAAAATATGTATATATGTTCAATGTCGTTAATGAGTGGGAATTAATTTATATTTAGTACTTACGTCATCCGTTATAATGTTATCTATTTTAGTGCAACTTCAAGGCCACAAGAG